AGTCGTTGCGGTTCGTTGTGCTCGGGGGAATTGGATTTCCTCTCCGTCGATTCCTCTCCTGAGTCCTCTTGCTGGGTTGAGCGGGGCTTCTCCCAACTCACGCGGCCGCGATCCCAGCCGATGTGTGGGTTGAACACTTTCAACCAAGGCCGGCCGAGAAACATCTCGTGCTTGCCTAATCTCGCGATGTCGAATACCACTTGTTGTGTTTCTCCTTCGACAATGACGGTGAGAGGTTCTGTCTCCCGTCGAATCCATCCGTCCTCATAGGTGGATTTGGTTCCTTCGAACGTCCTCACTGGATAAGGTCGATCCTTCATCACCCATGGGATTTTCCATTGGTTCACCAATTCGGGGGACACTAGATTCATTCTAGCCCCGGAATCGATGAGGGCGGTGGTGAAGCGTTTTCCCCAAGTGATCTTCACTGTCACTGGTTCTTCGTCTTCGTTGCGATCCACCGCGAGGACTTGTCTTGCCCCTCCTATTCGTCGTCCTCTGACGAACGAGGGTCCCCGTTTCCCGAATGTCTGTTCCGGAAGCGTCGTGGGTGTCGCAAGTGGTTCGAATCTCCGTTCTGAGAAGCGTCCTCCTCTTCGGCCGATATCGAAGCCGTCCTCGTTAATCGGGCCGCCTCCGCCAAAGCCTCCTCAAATCTGACTAGGCGAGCGCGTGATGCCCTTCTCTGTTCCTCCTCAATGTCTTGTCGTCTTCGGGTTCCATCTCGGATGTCGTGCCACTGTTCGACCTTTTCCTCTAAGTGTCGATTGCAGGCTTTCGATGGGCAGAATGCTAATTGTCCTCCCATCCTGCATCTTCGTGGTCGGGTGTCGTTGTTTGCCATGACTACGTAGCTTAGCAACCCCAATTGGTCGTTTTCGCGGTGCACAATGGACCTTTCTTCTCCTTCCACGGCGTGGCGTGGCGACCGGATCGCACCTGCCCTTCCTTCTCCGCCGCGTACCGGGAAGAAGTCCGCCTGAAGTTTCTCTGCCAGATGCCATAGGCAAGGGTGATGCACACAGTTAAACCAGGCGATCTGATTATGGTCCATGTGCGCTGGGTCCACTTCGCTAGCGTCTCCTTCCTGGAGTTGGAAAGGTTCTTCTCCGATGATCCGAATGTCGGCGTCCTCCCATTGGACTCCATCCACGCGGCGAGCTTCTCGTGGTCCGTCGATATGGTCTCTCCATCCGTGTCGCCAGTCGATCTGGTCGAATGGGGTTTCTTCTGGAATCCCCGGGTAGCCCTCTGGATCTTCGGGTTCGGATTCGTAGTATGCTTGATGATCGTCCGACGATCGAGAGGCTGCTGCGATGGTCCTTGGTTTGACAGGGTACCATCCAGAGCCCTCCTTATCACTTCGGTGAATTCGGCAGTCGTCGTCGAAACAGGCTGTCCAAGAGAGTTGGTTGTGTTCTTCCTTCTTGGAAACTCCGTTGACTTGTCTTCCTTCGGGAACCTCCTTCCATCCTTCCCGGGCCTTGCCCTTACAATCCCGGAAGGCGTGCCCTTCCTTGCCACAGCGATAGCACTTCATTGGCTTGCGCTGGGTCTGTCGGTTACCTCCTCGTCCGGCCGCGTCGATATCCATCGGTCCGGGGTGGGTACCGGTCGCCGTGGACGGGTTCCATCGTCGAGCCGAAACGTTGGGCTTATTACGAGGAGTGGGATACGTCCTGACTCCTTGTCGCTCTCGTTTGCGTTCGTATTGACGATCGTCGATCTTGATGGCCATGGCGATGTAATCATTCAACCCGTCTGGGCGATCGAGCTTCGACAGCTCGTCCTTCACGTCGTCCTTCAATCCGGTGTAGAAGGCGTGCATCAGGGCTTCTTCTCCCCACTCGACCTTGACTGAGTCCTGTCTGAACTCAGAAGCGTACACGCTTGCTGCTTTGGTCTGTCGGAGTCGGGAAAGTCTTTCTTCCGCCCTGCGAGCCTCATCTTGTTCTCCAAACACTCGGGTGATTGCTTCGCTGAATTTGTCCAGGGACGAGAAGATCTCGATAGTCTCGTCGTCTCTGTCGTTTGCCTTGTGCTTCACGTAGTCTTCCTTCACAGGGCCGAACCAACGCAAGGCTGGTCCCTGGAGGAACGAGGAGGTAAAGATCACCTTGTCTTCCTCGTTGTCAAATTGACCATTATGATAGTGAATGTAGGCACGCACCTGAGTGAGGAACCCTTGGAGCTCTCCCTTCTGACCTTCGAAAGTCGGAGGTGAGTGGATCTTGGCCTTGACCTTGGGTTGGGCGTCCCCGCTGGACCCCTTGAGAGCTTTGTTAGCTGCCTGGAGTTCCATGTTGACCTGTTTGAGGTTCTCGATCTCAGTGGTCAGGCCGCCGTGCGAGGCTTTCGATTGGGCACGGAGGTCTGCCACCTGTTTGTTGAGGGTCGAGATGTAAGTGTTCAACTGCAGGGCAGTGGGGGTTGTTGCTGGGGTGTTGGAGGTGGACGACATGATGGGTCTTTGCTCAGATACACTGGCCTGCACTCTGAAGAGTAATCAACGTGTTACGATCAGGAGAACCAAGGGGTCCTAGAGACGGTAGGGGTCAAAAGGTGAGTGCAAGGGGGTGTATGTAACCACGGAGCAAAGGGATAGTTCTCTCGACTGTGCAATGAATGCCTAAGAACTTATATTGATTACTGGCGTAATAACTATCTGGATCGTAGTCACGATCATTGTATATATAGAAATGACAATTACCTTGCTCAGTCTGCTCAGTCTTATCTCCGCTGAGCACACTGAGCACCCTGCTCAGTCTTATCTCCGCTGAGCGCACTGAGCACTTTTCGCATAGGTCCGATTCTTCGGAGTCTGAGGTGTGACCCCACTTTCCCGCAGGCTGCACGACCTCCGACCCGTTGTTCGTGACAACAGCACTGTCAAACCAGTCGAATCAGGCCGCTTTTTAGTGGTATGGCTAGACAGGAAGCTTTCCTGGACAGCCCACATGACGGCCCTTGAGAAGAAACTAAAAACTCAGGACTTCGCTCTGTCGAGGATAGCGGCCAAGACCTGGGGCCCAGGCCTAATCAGGGCCAGGGAGGTATACACCAAGTGCATCAGAAGCGCTATAGCTGTCGCGACCCAGGGAAGGGGCGCCACAGCACGGAGGGGTACGGAGACCCACAGCAGGAAGGCAGAGGATTGGTCGGGAAGGGATGACCAATCATCGGACCGCTCTGTGTGTTCTGTCGTCCCTATTGGTCAGGGAGCCCAGAGTAACAGAGTAGACAGAGCAGCTTGCTCTGTCCTGCTCTGTCCTGCTCTGCACCTGTCGGGAATTTAGGTGCAGAGCAAGACAGAGCAACGCAGAGCAGAGGAAACCTTCACTTCTATATAATGAGTAGGGTCTGGCGACATTAGGTCCCAGACCAGTAATCAGTACAAGTTCTTAGGCACACATTGCACAGTCTTTGAGAACAACCCCTTGTTCAGTGATTACCTACACCCCCTTGCACTTACCCTCTTGACCCTTACCGTCTTAGGGACCCTTGGTTCTCTAGATCGTAACAATAGCCTACGGGGCTTCCAGTTATCACAAGCCCACGAAGCCAGGAGGCAAAGCGCGGGGTATAGCGGCAGGTCTTTCTAAGGCTTAGAATCGAAGCCTGAGGATAGTGTTACGATCAGGAGAACCAAAGGGTCCTAGAGACGGTAGGGGTCAAAAGGTGAGTGCAAGGGGGTGTATGTAACCACGGAGCAAAGGGATAGTTCTCTCGATTGTGCAATGAATGCCAAGAACTTATATTGATTACTGGTCTGGGACCTAATGTCGCCAGACCCTACTCGTTATAGAAATGAAGAATGAGGACCCGACCCTCGGGTTCACCAGGTCCACTCTTATTCGTCCGTTACCGTGTGCCCCGTGAGTGGTCTTCCCGCCGTGGTTACTCCTTCTTGCTGCCTCAGGCAGACCCTCCCTGGGTTCGTGACAGATAGTTTCTGGGGCATACAAGGCCACACCCATTCGAAGCCTAGAAACTGAGACCTGGGTGCCACCGCTGGACTTATATCTCAACAAGAGGCTGTCACGATTGGGACTTGTGGCACAATCGCGCCTGCAAGGCAAAGGACAATGGGCCAATCACAGGGGTCCCGTAAAGAAAAGGAACGGGACCTGAAGGGTCCCGTTATCTTGAACGCCGGGACCCCCGAGTCCCGGGTTTTCAGGGAACGGGACCAACTGCTACATCTTCTATATAACGAGTAGGGCCTGGCGACATTAGGTCCCAGGCCAGTAATCAATATAAGTTCTTAGGCATTCATTGCACAGTCGAGAGAACTATCCCTTTGCTCCGTGGTTACACACACCCCCTTGCACTTACCTTTTGACCCCATACCGTCTCTAGGACCCTCTGGTTCTCCTGATCGTAACAGATAGGTTCTGTAGCTTGCCCGTCAAAGTGGAGGGTAGCCTGTGTCACGGTTCGAACCCCGACTCTGGGAGGAGGGCCAGACATGCAGGAGGGTGGAGCCTGCAGAAGGCGGGGCCTCCTGGTATGTCGCCACCCAATGAGAGGGTTGCAGGTGGAGCCGTCCCGAGATCTGAATCTCGGGACGTTCACCCAATCATGATGCCTCATGTCGTCCCGAATTCTTAATCTCGGGACGTCCCGAGTTCTGAATCTCGGGACGGGTCTCTTTGACTTCTATATAACAAATAGGACCTGGCAACATTAGGTTCCAGGTCAGTAATCAATACAAGTTCTTAGGCACTCATTGCACAGTCGAGAGAACTACCCTTTTGTTCAGTGATTACATACACCCCCTTGCACTTACCCTTTTGACCCTTACCGTCTCTAGGACCCCTTGGTTCTCCTGATCGTAACAGCCTGACGGTTAGAGAGCCATGCTTTAATCCACCTTACTAGCTGGCCAGGAAAGCTTTTAGATGAGATTTGATGATCATAATCAATATATTGAAGAATACGAGACTATTCCATTATAGAGCACGATAATTTAGCGTTATATATGAACTTGTAATCAAGTTGGTCTGGTGGTCTAGCGGTATGATTCTCGCTTAGGGTACACTCTAAACATTGTCTGCGAGAGGTCCCGGGTTCAATCCCCGGCCAGACCCTTAACTTTTGCTTAATATTACTAAAATATACTCTATACTTACTTACGTAAGTAAAAAGCTACTATTTCTCTATATTAAGAGATTACTTTAAGTTTTTAGCTAGGCTATTAATATATTAGCGAGCTAATAAAAATAGCGCCAAGGAGCTTACCTTCTAACGTTAAATAAGCTTCTTATTAATATAAGAAGAGGATAGAGAGTGAGAGAAGGTCTCTTTTTTAACGTAACGCTATTAATGATAGGGGAGAGAAAGGGACTTTTTGTCACAAGCTGGAAGCCTGAGGCCCAACAGCCTGCAGAGAAGTGGGGCCGGACCCCGGACCCCGGCGAATCAAAGGGCGCTCAGTGTGCTCAGCGGAGTTAAGACTAAGCAGACTGAGCAAGGTAATCTTCACTTCTATATATACAATGACCGTAACCACGATCCAGATAGTCATTACGCCAGTACTCAATACAAGTTCTTAGGCATTCATTGCACAGTCGAGAGAACTACTCCTTTGCTCCGTGGTTACATACACTCCCTTGCACTTACCTTTTGACCCCATACCGTCACTAGGACCCTTTGGTTCTCCTGATCGTAACATAAGGGGGCAATCACAAGGCCTCGGGCCTTCTTCAGCCGTGTTGCCAGCCTATCACAGGCTTGTCGGATCAACTGTGCCCTTGTTTTAGCCCGTATCACGGGTAGTTTCGGGAGCCTGGGGGCCCTTTGTAGATCTGGGAGTTCAGGGGTCAGGGGGGTGAGGACGGCTAGGGGCAAGATCGATTTTCCAAGGCCTTTCCTGGAGCCGAGTTTCGATGTCGGCGAGCCTCTTGTCGAAGTATAAGTCTAGCGGCGGCACCCAGGTCTCAGTTTCTAGGCTTCGAATAGGTGTGGCCTTGTATGCCCCGGAAACTATCCTCAGGATTTGGTTATTGTTACGATCAGGAGAACCAAGGGGTCCTAGAGACGGTAAGGGTCAAAAGGGTAAGTGCAAGGGGGTGTATGTAATCACTGAACAAAAGGGTAGTTCTCTCGACTGTGCAATGAGTGCCTAAGAACTTGTATTGATTACTGACCTGGAACCTAATGTTGCCAGGTCCTACTCGTTATATAGAAGTCGAAAAGACCCGTCCCGAGATTAAGAATTCGGGACGACATGAGGCATCATGATTGGGTGAACGTCCCGAGATTCAGATCTCGGGACGGCTCCACCTGCAACCCTCTCATTGGGTGGCGACATGCCAGGAGGCCCCGCCTTCTGCAGGCTCCACCCTCCTGCATGTCTGGCCCTCCTCCCAGAGTCGGGGTTCGAACCGTGACAGTTATGAGCCTTAGAGAGGCCTACCGCTATACCCCGCACTTTGCCTCCTGGATTCGTGGGCTTGTGGTAACTCGAAGCCCCGTAGGCTATAGCGCTTCTGATGCACTTGGTGTATACCTCCGTGGCCCTGATTAGGTCCGGGCCTCAGGTCTTGGTGTTACGATCAGGAGAACCAAAGGGGTCCTAGAGACGGTAGGGGTCAAAAGGTAAGTGCAAGGGGGTGTATGTAACCACGGAGCAAAGGAGTAGTTCTCTCGACTGTGCAATGAGTACCTTAGAACTTGTATTGATTACTGGTCTGGGACCTAATGTCGCCAGACCCTACTCGTTATATAGAAATGAAGAATGTCCTTGCTCTGTCTGCTCTGTGCCCGCGCCACAGAGCATGCAAAGCGCCTGCTCACTAGTTCCTGAGGACGACCCACATGCTTCCTGTTTACTGGCTCCTTCCAGGTCCCATTTCGGGCCACCCCTCTGGGTTTGTGACATCTCGCTGATGGCGCCGTCGTTGACTGTTAGGTTGATTTTAAATTGTCGCAAGTCGACCTCTTCGGTAAAATTGTTGTATTACGCCGATTATTACTACTATAATTATTATTATCCTAAACAATTACTCATATATTAGCTAAGCAATAATAGCCTCTTGATTGAGAAGGAAGAAGTCATTGAGAGATCTCGGTCAAAATTAAGCTAAAATCCACGCGCGCAACAGCCTCAGAAAGCCCTGGAAAAGTTCTCAGCAACGATAGCACCCTCGACCCAGCGTAATCGGTTGCGGCTGCGGAAGAAGAGCCGGAAACCGGGAGCCCACAGCGTTAGCTGGGGGGGGTTTTCTCTCTCTCGCTCTGCCCAGCCGCCAAGCCCGCCAAGCAAACCAACCCTCATTGAGCCTCACTGCGCTTCACTAACTCACAATTGGTACCCCGGCCCAAAAACAGCCCGTGCCCGCCCCCGAACCCCTGAAACCCCCGTTTTCTCTTCCTACGCTCATGATAAGTACCATAGGCTAACTCTATAGCTCGCTATAGTTGGCTCCGAAGACCTCGGAAATCTCGGTATACCTATAGCAATCGACGGAGGTAAAGGAGGCCTAAAGCAATCATACCACCACCTATACGCCGCGCTAACCGCCATACACAACCTACAAAATATCCTATCCCTCCCTAAACCGGCCCTAAGGCCCAGCCCAAGCCCTAAACGGCTTTCTATTAGGGAGCTAATCATTAAGCTTACAGCTCTGACCCGCAAGGATATAGCTAACAAAGTACAAGCTACGCCAAAGACCTACGAGAAGCCATCGAAGTCGCTATTTCCATTATTATACCTACACCGTTATACCGTTAGGCTTGCCGGTACTTCTGATGCTAAATACATAGAAAAACCGTGCTCGGGCCTGGAGTGGCCCGGAGCCAGGTGAAAAACCTATATAGATCCACTGCTACAAAGAAAACTGTCCTTTGACTTCATTCATACGTTGGAAGGTTCAACCTTCCTGGCTATGGGGCTACCGAGGGATGTAATAGTATTAACGTGTCACGGACCATGACCAGCCCGAGGTGGGACAGGGAAAGACCCCACGACCAATTGCTTGGCCCACCTATCAAAAGGGTCCCGGGTCTCGGGGGGCCGGGACCCATGGGAAGGAGGTCCCGAAGTCCCTGAGCTCCGGGACGAGTGGGACTGAAGAGAGGTCCCGAGGGATCGGGACCTCGAGACGGGATTTCATAGTTCTATATAACGAGTAGGGTCTCGCGACATTAGGTCCCAGACCAGTAATCAATACAAGCTCTTAGGCATTCATTGCACAGTCGAGAGAACTACTCCTTTGCTCCGTGGTTACATACACTCCCTTGCACTTACCTTTCGACCCCTACGTCTCTAGGACCCTCTGGTTTTCCTGATCGTAACATAACGTAGATTTAAACAAAAGAAATATTTACTTTAATATCAATTATTACTAGCCACAAACTCTTGGAAAGAACCCCTAAAGCTCGCCGTCCCAACAGGAGGCCACAGCACTGTCAAACCAGTCGAATCAGGCCGCTTTTTAGGGGTATGGCTAGACAGGAAGCTTTCCTGGGCAGCTCACAAGACGGCCCTTAAGAAGAAGCTGAAAACTCAAGACTTTGCCCTGTCGAGGATAGCGGCCAAGACCTGGGGCCCGGGCCTAATCAGGGCCAGGGAGGTATACACCAAGTGCATCAGAAGCGCTATAGCTTACGGAGATTCTAGTTATCACAAGCCTACGAAGCCAGGAGGCAAAGCGCGGGGTATAGCGGCAGATCTTTCTAAGGCTCAGAATCGGAGCCTGAGGATAGTTTCTGGGGCATACAAGGCCACACCCATTCGAAGCCTAGAAACTGAGACCTGGGTGCCACCGCTGGACTTATACCTCAACAAGAGGCTCGCTGACTTCGAAGCTCGGCTACAGGAAAGGCCTTGGAAAATCGATCTTGCCCCTAGCCGTCCCTACTCCCCCAAAACCCCTGAACTCCCAGACCAACAAAGGGCCCCCAGGCTCCCAGAACTATCCGTGATACGGGCTAAAACAGGGGCACAAGTGATCCAACAAGCCTGTGATAGGCTGGCAACACGGTTGAAGAAGGCCCGAGGCCTTGTGATTGCCCCCTCATGCCAACAAACCTGGAAGCCTACAGCAACTGAGGAAGCGAGAGAGGTGATCTCAGGGTGGTTAGGCCAAGCCAAGTCCACCACAAAGCTAATGTTGGAAGCTTGGGAAGCCCGTTGGAGGGAGGGCTTCCAGCCGGACCCCCTGAAAACCACACAGCCAGCCGACACAGTTCCTATTTTCAATAACGAGGCCCTGAGAAAGCACGAAAACCTCACCAAAGTAGAGAGTTCGTTACTGATTCAGGCTCGAACAGGGGCTATAGGCCTGAACGACTTCCTCTTTAGAGCTCGGGTTCCAAAAATCAGCACCCCCTATTGCGTGTGTGGCCAGGGCAAGGAGACAGTAGAGCTCTGATAGTGTGGTGCTCACAACCGCCGAAGCCAAGGGGCCCCTGGGCCCAGAAGATTCGCACGAGGAATGACCTCTACAAGTCCCTATCAGGGGACGAGCACACACAGGTCATCCTAACCTAGTTTACAGGCCTAGGTAGGCTTACTGAGTATAGGTTAGCCGTGAAAATAGCGGAAGACCTGGAAAGGGAACGTGAAGCTGAGGCAGGCCTATAGCCAGGAAGAGTGGACCTTCCAACGTATGAATGGAGTCAAAAGGACAGTTTTCTTTGTAGCAGTGGATATAGATTTTTTACCCGGCTCCGGGCCGCTCCAGGCCCGAGCACGGTTTTTACTATGTATCTAGCATCAGAAGTACCGGCAAGCCTAACGGCATAACGGCGTAGGAAGAATAATAATACATATTAGACTAAATTGAATATATAATTCCGTACCAATTATGGTTATCAGCTACTAGCAATTTTATTGCACGAGCCTAATGGGCCTTTTTTAGATACAGTATATTAAAGATAATGGATGTTTGGCGATATCCTTAATCGCGAGTTCCGATTCGATGAACTTAGAAGTGGCGGTGTCGTCATAGCATCCAATCCACGGCAACGGGGCTCTTTACAGCCGATAGGAGTGAGCTCATTGTTCCACGACAGGACAGTTAAACCAGCGAGCAGCGTGTGGAATTGAGCAAGAAGCTATCGCTATGCCTTTTCCCGAATA